TCATTTCTGTTGGTAATTATGTTAATAATCGACATATTTAAAATCATTTATAAGCCATCGGAAATAATCCTTTATAACGCCAAAATCAAGTTCCTCCCGTTCATGCCCTAATCCTTCCCCGCCCTTGCTTACATCGCTCCTCTCCTTGAAAGCCTCGCATGTCCCTCCACCCCCTCTCAGTTTCCTCCAAAACCATTGCCTTCGTCTCGGAACCCCTTGCGATACAGTCGCAATAGGAGCTAGTTGGGAACGCAATGACGGGATCGCGACTTACGTGCCCGAAAACTCCCATTTTTCTCCTCCTTCCGCTCCTCTCCTACATGAAATGATCGAGGAAGGTAACTTCTTGTCTTCAATTTCTATTTTATTTTCATTTATTTTGAAGAATGCTTTTAGGGTATAAAGTTTAGCTACTAGAAGGAAGTTTGACCAAATATTTTCCTATTTCAGTTGGATTACATTAAGGATCAGCTTGAAGCCCATATGTTTTTGCTTTAGTTATAGATGCTCTTACTAGTCATTTACAGGAGGATGTACCTTGGTGTATTCTTTTAGCCAGCGTTATCCTTCTTGTGGATAAAACTAAAGAAAGAGTTTAGAAAAAAAAACATAAATTATGACGGTTGACATTGGAGTCTAATGACTTTCATTTGAGCAGATCTATAACTGAATACATGAAATATAATTTTAGTAGTAGTAGCTCTAGTGGCAGAACCGTAACTACGAGTGATCAAATCATTAAAATGTGTGAACGTTTTAGATATCGGGTTACTTGTTCAAAGTGTTGGTGATATAGATAGGGATGTGATTAGTAGATTTCAAGTTGATTGGTTGAAGTGTAGGAATGCATCCGACATATTCTGTGATAGAAAATACCACTTAGAATTAAAGCAAAATTATGGTCGTAAGGCTTGCAATGTACGGTGCATAATGTTGGACTTTAAAAGAGAAGCCCAAAACAAATTTAAGTGTTACTAAGATGAGAATGCTTACATGGATGAATGACTTGACACATATAGACAAAATGCAAATGTTTGTGATAGGGTTTGTGTTGCTCCAATGACTGACAAGATTGGAGAGAGTCATCTTGGATGGTTTGGTCACTTTAAACGTTATCCATCTAATGATCTGATTAGGAGAGTAGAAGTTTTAGATTCGACTTATGTTAAGAAAGGAAGAGGTAGACATATATGGGGTTTGTGAAGATGAGATTGCTTAGATTAATGATTGGTTTTCCACTTGGAAAATAAAATGAGAAAAAAATAAACTCATGCGAAGTTTTTTTTTTTTTTTTTTTCACAGCCTTCCATCCTCATTGAGCAACACTCCTAAAATACTTAATAATTTGAATGATTGGCATGATGAAGTCAATTCATCGAACAAAAGAGACAAGAAACTTTCATATAACTAGTGTATGATAATAAAAGTTCATTCTTTCGAGGTTTTATAGGGCAAGACATCCCAAAATGATTATTGTAGATGAAGAAGTCAACCTTTGATATGTTTTAATTTGAGTCTTATGCTCCTCATCATATTGGTTTTGGTGGGCTCAATTCTCAGCAGAAAAGGGCATACACAAATGCAATAGATGATCAAAGTCTCACATAAATTTTTTGATAGAGGAACTTAGAAGCCCTCCTAAGAATAACTTTCATGATATTAAGAGAACTCTTAGCTACAAAAAGCTTGAAGCTGTAACCCAAAGATAAAGATAGCTTTGGATGCAAAATTATCAATTTCATTCATTTCTTATGAGACTTTATTTAAATTATACTTGTATTCTCATTGTCTTTCACTCTTCTTTTGCTTAATATAGAAGATTGAATGAAAGGTTGTAAGAGGTTGCCTGAAAATAAAAAATAGGCAATGAAAAAAAAAATTCATACGATTCAATACTTGAAAAATAACAGAATAATCTATTGATAACATCTTTCGTAGATGCTAGAAAAAAAAAATAAGTGATAACATTATGAAATTTATTTAAAGAAAATAAGTTCTAAGAAAATGTTAAGTTGATCAAGTGAATCAAACTTCTCTACTTGCAACTCGAGAGATTTTAAGCATTAATGCAACAATTTCTTCATAGTTTTTGTGATAAAGGAAATTTATATGTATAACACCATACTTGTGAGGATGAATTAGAAATATGATGAATGTTCAAATGTTTTTCCTTATTAAGAGAGTGAGTAGGAGAGATATAAATTAGGGTAGATTGGTAATTAAAGGCAGACTCAATTGCTTCATTTAAAAAAAAGGCAATACTTACATTTTAACGATGCATAAAGTTACAATTAGTCTTGAGTAGAAAATATTTTGCTCATGAGGGGAACCTTAGCTAAGCTTTCAAAGTATTGGTTGGCCTCATGACAACAATTTCAAAATTATAAGAAATAATATAACAAAGCTTGTATGTTATTACTTTTTTTATCTTCTTATTAATGACACCAAGAAAATGTGAATATATCACGCATTCACCTATAATTGAAATGTGAGTAGACTAATATTCAATAATTGTATAATGATGCATGAGTGCATGTAACAAAAAACAATAATAATAAACACATAAGCTATACTAGTGTAAACTGTCGAAAGCATTAAAGTAAATTTTATCGAAAAATTATGATAATGCTATAAGATTTTTGAAGATGTTGATTAATGTTGCAATCAATAGCAATTCAAGATGATTTTGGGTGTTGTAGGACATTCCTTAAAGAGACTTCAGAGAAAAACCTTGAGATATCCCATAAGAAAACTTTTCAAGATAGTTCCAAAATTGATAATAATTTGGATGTTTGGAACAAATAATTTTACACATGATTAGTTCTTACATGAAGTATAGATGGCCCTGGTAGACAACATAAATTTTCATTGCTTATACGATTTATACAGATGTTAAAGTTGTATCACCATTATTCATAGTATTATAAATGATGAGGCCTCCACAATGTAGTTATCCTTTATATTTATTTCAGTAACAACCTCAATTAAAATTTTTACAAGAAAACATATATTTTCTTGAGCTTTTATTTATCATGCTTGCTATCATATGTTTCGCTTGATCAATAGCAATTATGATGATGGAAGAAACAAATTCAGAATGACATATTAGATCTAAATGGTGCCTTAAGCTCTAGTTTTCACGGTGTATTTCTCAATAAGGGAAATAATTAGTCAAAAAAATCTAAATTTCAGTTGGAGAAGACTCATTTAAGTTTTAGAAAAAAAAAATCTTAAATAAGATTTATCCTGATGGATTTGGTGACATGCTTTTGCTAGTATCTTCATAATGTGAGAAACTTGGACACCACATGTAATTGTATTTTCATTGAGAATAAATTGAATCTAATTTAAGCATGCATTAATCAATGGAGATAAAATCAATGATGACAATTATGTAAGAAAGGATTTTCTTAGGAACAAAATCAATATGGTATTTGGTTGGAGGCAGATATCTGGCATCACTACTAAATTTAAGAGCATATGAATTAAGGCAATGTGGACATACACTACAAGTGTGGCAATTGACTCAATATTAGTTATTATGAAAACCTTGCAAAGGGTCGTATGAACCTTGGAAGGAGATGAATAATTAACTATGATTAGGGGTGTAGGAGTATAATCAAGCTTTAGCCACATCAAACGTTGGTTTCAAACTCTATTCATGAGCTCGAGAACCCCAAAAACTAAAAATCCTTAGCATGAGAGTTCATCTTAGATGGCGTCAGAGAAAATCAACAGTAGAAGTAAGGGATTTTGTATTGGAACTCACACTAGAGATGACATTGACAAATGGCGAGCTAAATTTCTACAAGAGTTTGCTAGAGAACGCATCCACAATATTGTGAGACTTTAGACAGAAGATTGTTAGAGAAATTGTTGATAGGATTAGCACTATTTGAAAGGAGAAAACTGTTTGTAAGACTTGCAATCTAAATTAACACCATAAACTGATTGACAAATAAGAAATAAGAATTTAGAATTTAAATTTAATAGAGCCAGCCCTCAAGTCAATGAGTCGAGGTTGTCAAGCTTGAGCTCGAACTCTAGCTTTTAGCTCAATAAATTTGACTAGCGAGCTCATCAGCAAGTCATGTTTAAGTAACTCGAGTTACTCGCACGAATAGTTTGGGTAGAATATTGATCACATTTTGAATTTTGATATCATCTTAAGTTTAAGGATCGAAGTCTATAGAGAAAATGTTTAGGTTAAATATGAAAAAAATAATATAAAAATCAAAGAATTGATAGCATCTTTAAAACATACAATACAATTACTCGATCAATAGTTTCAAGAAAAAAAATTCTCAAATTTGTCATAAATACTATATAAATCATACATTAAATCGCATATCAAACAGCTTCATAAATTTGAATAAAATTTTAACTATTTATTGATTAATCAGATTGGTTAACAATGTATATCTTCACATTAAATTTTTAATCAGGAAGATGAGGAAGGCATACCTCACAAACATTATTTATTAATTATGAAGATTCTTCCCAATATCTCTATATACTTGGTGGTTATCACAGAAATTATTACGTCCGATAAACTGTACATTCAGACAACAGGGCTAATCAAGTCACGTCATCGCACATTTCGTGTGACTGGTTCATCGTTGATATCAAAACGTACAGACACCAGACGTAATAATTTCTCTTGATTATGATATTTGTCATACATCAAAATACAAAAAAAAAAAAAAAAAAAAAAAAA